TTCCCCAAGAAAATTCACTTTTGGTCTGGACAACTGAGCAGTATCTCACTCTCAAGCAAATGACGGAACTTTTTCTTTTCATAAAGATCATTATCATTATTATTGGGCGCACGGCCTGAACTCAGACGTATGGCACCAACACTTACCAGGTACACTAGGTGTTACCCTCAACTGATGTGGTACAAACGTATTCGCAGTTGGAAAGGCAAATCCACCGGTCAGTGGGGCAGTTGAAGCAGCCCCGGGAACTGTGACTTGATGGGCGATTTCTGCTTCAAACCTAAGGATAATTAATATGCAGCGGTCATCAAGCCGATTTTACCTATTCATTTCTTCTTCCATTTGACGCAGTTTCTTTTCTCCGGTAGCCATTTTTAAGATCTGTGATTCGAATAGCACCGTGACAAATAGTTCCGCACTTATATTTGCTAAAAATAAAAGACGAATTAAGCAAAACGCGCGCTTATTATAGACGGTATCAAGTGATACATTTTTGAGAAATTACGATCTTAGTTGCCCTAAATCTATTTTGCCTGAAGATATTTAGTTAAAAAGACACCATAATCAGTTGACTGTAATTTTCAGACCACCTCGTTATTTCGTGGGTTGAGTTTCAACTAACCGAAGGCTCTCGTTGAGAATCAGTACGAAAATTACCTTTGGTTTGGGAAGCACTATGATATTCTTGTTATAAGGATATTTTTGCTATGCTTTGCTTGATACAGTTTGGACCCAGACTGATGAGACGGATGAAACAATGTACACAGTTAGGATTTGGTTAATATACCAATTAACTCTGCACTTTCGTTGGCAGACTTTGGTTGCTGCCTTTTGGATACTCATCTGGTCAATCAATGAAATTGATATAAAAGCGATAAATGAGAGGAAGATAAAGACACAAAACAAATAAACTAGACGTGAGTGCATACATGAGCGTCTTATTTTAAAACCCTTAGGTATATTACCCTGTGACTTCAATCATTGATTATACTGATTTCGATGGCCCCAGGCGAAAAATGTAACGAAATATACATTACCAAGAGCGTCAGTGCTACCAACTCATCAAATATCCAATGCCTCGGGTGAACTTGAAGCTCAGATACACAAGCAACGTTCACTGTCGAGTGCATTGCTCGTCTAATCTACCCCACTGTTCATCTACACGAGCACGCTACAGTACGTTTAGCTCTTGCCCTAGTTCTGATTCAGAGCGGGCACAAACGGCCGGATCAGATAAGCGATGATATGCCAACCGATTTTGGTGGATTTTTCTGCGACTAGTGAGTCGTAGAGTGGATTGTATTCAATCCAACGCAGGTGGTCTAATAAGACTTGCAGTTTTGTACTGAGCCACGCCAACGGTAACTTATTGCTGTGATCGATTTGAGTTAGTATATCAATTGATCGCCACGTTTCCGTTCGTTGAGAGTTGTGCCAGAAGTCGGTACTGGATAGGAACAGATAATGTTTGAGCCACCCATGGGATATCACTTAGCGTTCAATTGGGAGGGTCAATCAACCAGAAGTAAACGGGTTTTTTAAACCAAAATCTTTCCATTTAGCTGCATTTAATATCCTCATGCTCTATCAGATCGCTCAACAAGCTGTTTTAGCAGGAATCCTTGAAACTTTCAATTTAAATGTACGCTGTCTCCAGAACGCCCATAGAAGGCCCTCCTTCAACCACTATCTTGCGATCTCCAGATAAGAACTCAACTTTACGTTTCACTCTTCGTGTGTCAGGCGGTTTGGCATCCAACGATTGCGGAGGTACTGGTGTTGGGATTGCTCTGCGTCCGGGATGAGCACTCACGTCTTGACTGAATTCCGTTTAACAGCTGACTATACGCTGTACGCCCCGATGGCTTAATAGGTGTCAGCAACTACTGAACGATGCGTCGGTGTCCGTCCATGTACGGACTGATTGCATTCCTCCTCAAATGAAGGACGAAATCTATAAGGATTCTTTTTAACTGCTCCAAATTACTCGGTCAACGGACATCGGGTTAGTCATTGGAGACCTTAATGCTTAAGTAGAAGCTTTGGATGAATCACAGGCTTCTTGACGGCACTCATGCAATCGCGGCAAACCTGACGGAGAACTGAGATTGACTGCTTCAACTTTGCACCGACCACGGATTGTTCCTGGCCAGCACCAACTTGTTTCCTAACAAAAGACATTGTCTTACATGGAAACCCTCACAATTATGGACTGAAATCGACATCGCCATGGACTACCACTGGTGAGGATTCACTAAAGACGGTTGCTGTTGCTGATCAACACCCGTGGACAAGGACCATGTTG